AGAGCTCGTGGACCGCTGCCCTGCTGCTGTACTGTCCGGTACAGCAGAGCCCGTGGACCGCTGCCCTGCTGCTGCACTGTACGGTACAGCAGAGCCCGTGGACCGCTGCCCTGCTGCTGCACTGTACGGTACAGCAGAGCTCGTGGACCGCCGCCCTGCTGCTGTACTGTCCGGTACAACACACCCCGCGTGGGCGCCATCTATTATACAAGAGCCGCTGGTGAGGGAACATCGATTAATGCCGTTTGGCCCCCACCTGTGTGGTGCGTTTGGCATGTTCGGCGCGTCGGGGTGTTCCCCGTCCCCAGAGGGCGAGGCGTGAACGACCGTTCCTTTCCTCGCTCTGGCCAGAGCGGAGCGCCAACCAGCGCCCCTGCTGTCGCGGGAGGGGCGAGTCGGCGATGGGAGGGGAGTCGGCGGCGCTCGTCCGCGGCCGGGCGGCTGAAACTGGCTGGGTACGGCTGGGGCGCTGGTTGGCGAGACGGCTGGTTGGCGGCGGCAAAGCAGCTCCACTTGGTGAAGCCCCAAGGTCCATGGTCGAAACCCGAACAGCTGGTGACATCGGCACCATCCGGTGACACGTTTCACACGGATGCTAGGCGATACCGGATGACCCATGCAGCTCAAACCCCGTCAACATTTTTCCGGCGGCGTTATCGCTGGCAATCGGAGCCAAGGATCACCGTGATTGAGAGACGTCCTTCAAACTGCAGAGCATTTCGATCAACGTGGTGGCGAACGGTAACAGGCCACCACGCCCCCTTGATTGCAGGGCATGTGTGGCCGCGGTCAACACGGTGACTACTATCCCCAATTTGCCGACAGGTCAGAGGCGCCCACAGGGCACCCGACCGGTCAGAGGCGCCCGCAGAACTTGTGACAGATCAGAGGCGTCTGCAGGACTCCCGACAGGTCAGAGGCGCCTGCAGGGCTCCCAGCACGTCAGAGGCACATGCAGGGCTCCCGACAAGTCAGAGGCGCCTGCATAGCTCCCGACACGTCAGAGGCGCCTGCATAGCTTGCGACACGTCAGAGGCACCTGCATAGCTCCCGACACGTCAGAGGCGCCTGCAGGGCTCCCAGCACGTCAGAGGCACCTGCATAGCTCCCGATAGGTCAGAAGCACCTGCATAGCTCCCGACACGTCAGAGGCACCTGCATAGCTTGCGACAGGTCAGAAGCACCTGCATAGCTCCCGACACGTCAGAGGCACCTGCAAGGCTCCCAGCATCCGTCGTTCAGCATTGCGCTCTCCACACCGACTCGTTGCCCAGCTAATTGCGGCCAGCGTCACGAGGCCGGCATTACGGTCCAACAGCCGGGCAGATCAATAGGAATATCGCTCTTGCGGCGCCAGGATTACATCGATCAGCTAAACCCGGGCGATGCGGGGGGCCGCACCAGCAGGCGGTGATGCCAGCAGAAGGCTAGCGGCCGACAAGTCACAAGAGGGAATCAAGTGGTCTGGAGAACCGCACGCTGGTAATGCCTCTTCCGCTTGGTCGCTGCAGTCAGCCCCGGCTATAGTCAGGCCCGAGGGTTCGGATTCAGCGCCGCTCCAGCTGCACCAGATCTCCCGCCGGTCAGCCCAGGCTCTTCAGGCCCGGGGGTTCGGATTCAGCGCCGCTCCAGCTGCACCAGATCTCCGCCGGTCAGCCCAGGCTCTTCAGGCCCGGTGGTTCGGATTCAGCGCCACTCCAGCTGCACCAGATCTCCGCCGGTCAGCCCAGGCTCTTCAGGCCCGGGGGTTCGGATTCAGCGCCGCTCCAGCTGCACCAGATCTCCGCCGGTCAGCCCAGGCTCTTCAGGCCCGGGGGTTCGGATTCAGCGCCGCTCCAGCTGCACCAGATCTCCGCCGGTCAGCCCAGGCTCTTTAGGCCCGGGGGTTCGGATTCAGCGCCGCTCCAGCTACACCAGATCTCCGCCGGTCAGCCCGGGCTTCAGTCAGGCCCGAGGGTTCGGATTCAGCGCCGCTCCAGCTACACCAGATCTCCCGCCGACATGCCGTCACGAACACCAGACGCAGAGCATGTACAGCTGGCCCACCAGCCGCCTGGTCGGACCGCGCCACAGCGCCTGCACGGCACCCCCGACGCTCTGCCGGCCGCAGGCCCGGTCCGCCGGCCCGGCGACGCTCCAGTGCTGACCGCGGCCCGCGGCCCCAGCGTAAGACATTACATAACGCCCCAGAGACTCCGACGCCGTGAGTCATGGACGCGGCGGCCCGAGCGGGGCGCCCGAGAGCGGCATCTGACCGGGTCACGGGCTGACCGGTGAGTCAGCTGGCTCGGGGCAGCGCGCTGGGTGGTACCGGCGCGGGCGGCGCACTCGCCGGCGGAGCCGGGCCGCTGCAGACGTCTGAGACGTGATCTGAATCGTCAGTGGGGGGGGGGGGGGGGGGGGGGGGGGGAGCTGCTCCCGCCTGACAGAGGCGACCAATGCAAACACGCGGAAAGAACTGGTCGCACTGGCTCTGGTTGGGGACGGTGGAAACAAGTCCAAATGATGCACCCGATGAACACGCGTGGATTGCAAGACAATTAACGCTTTCTTGTCAGTCGAGTTTCAGTTCCCAGGAATTCTAAAGCGGTTTCAAGCCAACACAATTATGAGACCACAGAAATGACCGTGCGATGGCTTCATATTCACCAGATGCACTCAAGAGGTTTTGTGACTCTGGTTAGTGTTGTCTGCTTCCTTGCGGTTTACGCAGTATCCACCGGATGAGCCACCACGTCAACCCACGCTTTGTTCAGGACAGCACTCCCTTTTCTGCAGTGTAAGCGCCCGTTTTACACGAGACCGTGGCAAAACAGCACTCGTACATCCATTCCTCTAAAAAATTTAATGTTTCGGAGACATGGATGTCTGATGGTGGATTATCTAACGTATATGTGCGGACATCCACGTGCAGCATTATCTCGACGCTTATGTGTCTCCGGTTTCTGTCCCCCCATGGTATCCGATCAGCCAAACTAGAAGCCCTTTTAACAATGACGTTGGTTTGAACATCGCCTTAAAAACGTCAAGATGAGTCCCTTAAAACGTCAAGTTGAGCCCTTAAAACGTCAAGTTGAGTCCCTTAAAACGTCAAGCTGAGTCCCTTAAAACGTCAAGTTGAGTCCCTTAAAACGTCGAGTTGAGGCCGCACGCTGAGTAACAAACGGCGACAGAGACACTTCCACCGAGCAGACGTCGCTGTTCCCGACGGCAGCGGGCCTTCACCCACCTGCCGGGTCGTACCCCAGTGACGTCACGCACCACTCCAACCAAACACAATGTCACGACGGTCTGGCGCCATCGCCTCCATCTGCATGTGAAAAGCCGTCAAGCTGGCGACGCTCGTGCATTGTTTTCGGAGGTCACCGGCAGGGCCCGTCGCCCCAACGGAAGCGGCGGTGACACGGTTTTTCTCGCGGCTCGGATGCCTTCGAACGTGGCCAAGCGCCCGGAAATCAGGCCATCAGAGCGATAAGTTCCCACATTCCGACAGCAGCGGGCGCAACGGGCGAACGTTAACGCCGCGAGCCTCAGCGACGGCCGCCGCGGCCTGCGGTAACTATGCCAACGGCTTCTTGAGCTTTGAACGGAGGCCTCTCCACTCCCATCTACAGCGTTGCCTGTTCTTATGGTAGTTCTGTTAAGGCGATGCACCGGCGGCGTGCAGCCGAAAACGTGTGCAGGTCAGCACTGGTCTGTCCGGCATGGCGGCAAGTACTGCATTATCTTCCGTAGCCACGCCGGCTTCGTCACAACGCTGCCCCCCCCCCCCCAAAAAAAAAATTGCCACCAGGAAAGGCGCGGGTGAGCGGGGCAACACACGGGCCGGGGTCAAGAGGCCCGGCCTCGGTTGAACCTTGCGGTGGCACTCGCCTCGCGGTCCGCACCACGACTGGCATCTGACGCTCGGGTCCGGATCCCGACTGGCATCTGACATTCCGGACCGGATCCACGACACCCATCGACACACTGGATGGCTGGCATCCACGGCTGGCATTTGACGCTCGGGTCCGGATCCCGACTGTCATCTGGCATTCCGCACCGGATCCACGACAGTCATCTGACACACGAGATGGGATCCGCGGCTGGCATTTGACGCTCCGGTCCGGATCCCGACTGTCATCTGACATCCCGGACCGGATCCACGACAGTCATCTGACACACGGGACGAGATCCACGACTGTCATCTGACGCTCGGGTCTGGATCCCGATTGTCATCTGACATTCCGGACCGGATCCACGAATGTCATCTGACACACGGGATGGGATCCACGACTGTCATCTGACGCTCGGGACCGGATGCAGAACTGTCACGTGACGCTTGAGACCAGATCCAGGACTGTCCTCCGACGCTCGGGACCGGATCCAGAACTGCCATCTGACTTCACTCGAGACCGGATGCAGAACTGTCACCTGACTCTCTGGACCGGATCCAGAACTATCATCTGACGCTCGGGGCGAGTTACGCGTAAACAACTTTACTGTCCTCACCTTGGAGACCGCGATCACCCCCAAAATTTCGTTTTCCCTTCCCAAACGCACACAAATATTTAACATGAATTCCTCCTATCTTAACCAAAACAAGACAAATTCACGGACCTGTCCGTCGCTGGGTTGGGTTTTTGGGGACAGCTTGCCACAGCAGCTCGCCCAGTCGTTGAACAGATCAAGCGAAGCTTCAACTGAGGTCTGCATTTCAGCTGCCTGTACGGTTAGCCCTGTACTCGAGCACTCTTTGTTACCCGACCAACCTACCCACAACCTACACCCCAGCTCGTTAAATGTGCTCGCGCCAGCCTCGATGTAGATCCTACACCCGAGCTACCTGCGCGATCAAGCCCGGGTATGGCCTCCGTCTCCGAGCTGTGCTTCTGAGCCATCAGGCTGACTTAAGGTCCGGCCGGGCTAGTCAGCTCTGAGTCCTGAGGACACGGACCCTCATCTCAGGCCGGGTCGGTCGCGCTTGCGCGGACCCGTTCCTGTCCGGTCCGACCACTCACCTAGCGCGGCCGAGTCGTCCCGCTGGATCAGGTCCAGGAACAGGTTGGTCACGAAGTAGAGGTGCTCCATGCCCATGGGGTCGAACTCGACCGACGAGCGGTAGCTGTTATTGAGCCGCGGCGTCGAGTACTGCACCGGCCGGTAAGGTAGCACGCTGCGCGGCTCCAGCGCCTGGCCGAGCGCCGGCCTCGCCACCGTCACCCACATCACCACCGCCGCCGCCGCCGCCGCCGCCAGCACGCTCACGCGCGTCCCGGCCATGGCTCCTCCGCTGCCGCCGCCGCTGCCGCCGCCGCCTGCTCGTCCCCTCACGCAGCGTCCGCCCGCCGACTGCGGCAGCAGCGGCGACCAGCCGCCCGGCGAGCGTTGAACCACGCCGCCGCCGGCCAGTCGGTGACGTCACGGCCGCCCCAGCGCAGCCGGCCCGGTGTGACGTCACCGATCCCGTCCGCCGCGCTGCCGGCAGGGAGAGGTGTTAGCAGCGCCCCTGGCGGCCGCGTCGCAAACTGAAGGGCCAGCGGCCGTGCGGAGGGATGGGCGAGGCGGCGCGGGGCCGCGGAGGTCGGGTTCGCGTACCGTTAACCCACTTCACAGCTGATTCCGAGCTCGCATAGCTGGTTAGCGCCGGTTGTGAAGGAGTGCTACGAACGACTTTGACGTAACTGGGTATTGTGTTGCATCTGTTAGGTCCCGCACATCACTTAAGATTTCACAGACCATCATCCGGTATCACGGCCCACAAGCAGCTCATCCCAAACGTTACGCTAATGGGGGCTAATGGGGGTAAATAAGCCGGATGCCAGCGGGCGCCGATTAAAGACGTGACAGCGTCAAGCTTTCGGGTTGAGCAGAATGAAAATATCGCCAAGTCGTTACCAGGCATTGAGCTCACCGACAAGGAAGTGCCATATTTTGTGGGACAATTCCCGCTCAACCTCAGTACATGGACTCCCATTCGAGCCACGGCAACACCCTGCGCTGTGGTCAGCTGTCGCAATACGATTTAATTTGACAGCACACGTGGCCGTGAAGGAATGGCTAACCCTCAGTGAGTGGTAATAATAATGCTTTCAAGGAACGATCTACATTTGAGGATATTCAGGCAAACATCAGATATGATGCAAAAAGCTGAGTTGTAAATATTGGCATACTTGTTATTCCCAAAGACTGACTGAGACAAAGAATTGTCGCCACTGTTTTGTAAATACGCTCCTAGAAGCGTCATGGTTTAATTAGGTCATGCAACTTCTTTTAGCGTCAGTCACTACGGGACTGGCCGTAGCAGAATTGCTATTACAGCGGACGGGCTGACTAACTTATAACACTTAAACTCACCACAAGGGGCAATTTCATTTATAAGTGTGAACTGAGCCTACGATCAGTAAGTGTGCGTGCTGCCCAAATGCCGGTAGCATGCACCACTAACGTGGTTAGTGTTCCAAACTTGCATTTAACGCGTGAAGCAGGCTGAAAGCTAGCTGTTGTTCGCTGAGCAGTCGTTTGGGCTGGCGTACCCTAGACGCGAGTAAACCGATGGTTATATCTTGATTTCCATTTGACACAATATGGCCATTGCTGGGGCGGAATTCGTGCGACGTTTCGACGGCGTCCTCATAAATATAGTCTGGCGTCCTCATAAATATAGTCTGGCGTCCTCATCAATATAGTCTGCACAGGTTCGTGTACGTCCCGCTCAAAAACGAGACGATTTTAAGTATTAAGAACGCCATAGCTGTGAAATGCAGGACATTTCAGAGCTAGCCGGTCCTATCCGGTCCTATACGGTCATATCCGGTCCTATACGGTCCTATCCACTCCTATCCGGTCCTATTCGGTCCGGTTCAAATTCATGTTTTGGTTGAAATTTCTGATCCGGTCCAGTCCGATCCACGGATTGATCCACAACCGGCTCGCATCCAATCCGGCTCGTGGGTGGATTGACCCAATCCGTGAAGTGCTCCGGTGGAAGACTGGAGCTCGCTCCCTGTCCGCGGCTTGTTATCTTTGTCTCTGGGTGACACTGAAGGAAATACATGTACATGCATGGATTGACTTAATTCTTGCAAGGTCGCCCAACAATTAAAGGCTCCGGGCGTATGTGGACTCTATTTTTTCCCTTCCATGCGTAAATAATTGCTGTCGATCTCTTCAGTCATTGTTCCATTTTCCTTTTTCTCATGGTCCCATTTTCAACCTGCAGTAATTGTCCAACGTTTTGTCCTCGGCATCAGCCCAATGGGAGTCGTGCATGCGACAGTGATATTTCCTTGATGGGTATACGTTAGTGCTCAGTCTACAGCGTTACTGCCAAAGGCAGTGCATCGTCACTAAAGCTGTCCAGAATTTGCTGGAGTTAAGAGATGTGCTCGTTGAAACATGAATTATATCATCGTTCTACGCAAGAAAAGACGTTGTTAGACTCTTAGAGTATGCAGGTATGGAGATCTGATAGTGAAAATGACCATTTTAATCGACATAAACTGTTCCCTAGTTAGAAGAGTGGCATAGCACCACCTGCAAAGGACGAACATTGTAAAAACAGCACACCCGTTTTCTCGTCCGCGGAGATGGCCACAATAACTGGCACGCGTGGCGTGGGCGCAACACTTACAGAATTGCTCAGGTATTTTGGCTATCTTGGTATGGAACGCCTACACGCTTAATAAACGTGCGTTGTGTGATTGTTCGTGTAACTTTCGACGACTGTGCAGCACGTGATAGTCGTGTATGGCGTGTGTGCATCAAATAAAGTAACAGGTCACAGAAGCACGCGGTGAAGGCGCCTGCAGCGAACCTCGGCAACATCATTTCAGTACAACAGGACTGCATAGTGGCTGCTGTAACTGTGCAATATGACTGCCGCCACCTCTGGTGACCAGCCAGCCGACCGATGGCTGCCAGCTGCGTGACCTCTCTCCGAAGCGAGAACTCAGCTGTTGTGTTAAAACACACTGCACGGCTAACCGAGACACGGCTGCTCGCTTGTGAGACGTGTCACAACGTTGTAGGATGGGCCGAGAACAGCCGGCACACGGTAGACGAACACACCCGATGGCTGGCGACACGGCAGACGAACACACCCGATGGCTGGCGACACGGCAGACGAACACACCCAATGGCTGGCGACACGGCAGACGAACACACCCGTCGGATCGGCGCCACGGCAGACGAACATACCCGTCGGATTGGCGGCACGGCAGACGAACATACCCGTCGGATTGGCGGCACGGCAGATGAACACACCCGTCGGATTGGCGGCACGGAGGCGTCAGCCGACCTCAGCTGCACTCAGACAGCGTCCTAAGGTCACAGCCTGGGAGAGCTGACGAACTCTGGACAGCCCCCGGGTTCGTCAAGCTGGGCACCCGGAGCCCGTCCGACGAGCCCGGAGCCCGTCCGACGAACCCGGAGCCCGTCCGACGAACCCGGAGCCCGTCCGACGAGCCCGGAGAGCGTTGAAGAGAGCATTTTCAACACGGAGCCCCCTCTCTTCCATGCACATTTTCCAGCATTCAACTGCACGCAAATTAATCAATCATCACCAGCAACTGCCAACTTGTCCCTACCCAAACAAAAACACCACCCACTCCTCAGAAAAGTTCAGGCGCTTGGAACGGCCCCTGTAGCGGGCCGCTCCGAGTCCCGATGGCTCGTCGCGTGTGCGCTGGCACTGAGGAGGTCGGGGTGAGCTGCGGCGTGACGGGCACCTGCACCGGGCGTCGCCCAGTTCACGAACGGGTCCACTGGACGGTGTCCGGTCCACTGTTCGCGGCGCACTGCTCAAAGACGGATCGTTCGCAGCACGCCCCGCAGCGGTTTCGCCGCTGCCCAGAACTGTCCAGGCGTGGGGACAGCGCCATGCCGCTGCCCAGAACTGTCCAGGCGTGGGGACAGCGCCATGCCGCTGCCCAGAATTGTCCAGGCGTGGGGACAGCGCCATGCCGCTGCCCAGAACTGTCCAGGCGTGGTGACAGCGCCATGCCGCCTCATATCGCCACCTAACCGGTTCGCATTCATTGCAGACTGCTTTATATTGATTCTGGATGAATTGACATTTCCATGAATTGACACGGAGGGCCGATGCCTGATTGACATTGACGCCGAGCGCTCCGCTGTCCGGAGAAAAGCCGACGGCAAAGCCGCCAGGCAAAGCCAGGCAAGCCAGGCAAAGCCGACACAGGCAGGTGCAACACCTGAGCACCGTCTGGGAGGGCACGACCTGCCAGCACATTGGGAGGGTACGACCTGCCAGCACATTGTAATGTTACACTGTCGTAGTGCCTGTGGGTGTTGGATCGAAGGAACTGAACTTTGAATACTGTTATGCCGTACCCGAAAGTTTCAGAAAGTTCAACGTGAACGAAAATCCTGAAACATCCCAGCAGTCAGAAGATAAGGAGCGGGGGGGGGGGGGGCACACCACGCCACGTTCGGAAGTTGGAGCAGATATCTTCTCCGAACGATCTCCACACAAAGGTCACGGAGGGCCGGTGCCTGATTTCAAGCGAAAAGTCGCGTCTCTACATAACTGTATATTAAGCTGAGCGCAGTCCGCCGACGTCCCGTGCTGCGGTGCTCCCGTGCTCCCGTGCTCTCTGCGGCACGGGAGGCGTTATAGCGTTGTTCAAAACCACGCGTTGACAACAGAAGGATCCAGTTGGCCTGGCCTGAAAGAAGGATCCAGTTGGCCTGAAAGCTGACAGGAAGGCCGCCGCCCGATCCAGGTTCTCTCGCCTGCCCCCCCCCCCCCCCACGCCCTGATCAGGACAGCTTCCAATCCGCGCGCTCTCGGGTTCATCGGCAGAGCCGCCGGCAAGTGAGATTCGGAGGTGCGGGCCCGTCCCAGAGCCGCCGGTGGGTGAGATTCGGAGGTGCGGGCCCGCCCCAGAGCAGCCGGTGAGTGAGATTCGGAGGCGCGGGCCCGTCCCAGAGCAGCCGGTGAGTGAGATTCGGAGGTGCGGGTTCGCCCCAGAGCAGCCGGTGAGTGAGATTCAGAGGTAGCGGGCCCGCCCCAGAGCACCCGGTGAATGAGATTCGGAGGTGCGGGCCCGCCCCAGAGCAGCCGGTGAGTGAGATTCGGAGGTGCGGGTCCGCCCCAGAGCAGCCGGTGAGTGAGATTCGGAGGTGCGGGTCCGCCCCAGAGTCGCCGGCAAGTGAGATTCGGAGGTGCGGGCCCGCCCCAGAACAGCAGGTGAATGAGATTCGGAGGTGCGGGTCCGCCCCAG